TATCTTTTATAAAATTGCAAGTATCTTATGATACACACAATACATTACGATAAGCGATACACTATATTTAAAAAATGATACATCTTTCAATACATATTTTGACAACTTTATTTTTGAATATGAAAATGTTTGTTCAATGAATTCAAAACCTACTAAATATATGCACAAAAAGTGATTTTTGCTCTCTAAGGGGTGTGTTTTTTATTTGTTGGTATGTGTAGAAATTGTTTTAGTTTTTATGATTGGTTTTGATTGATTCATTGAAACTATATAATTACTGGGTGTAATTCGTGCTTGAAAGTACGATACAATATTAATGATTTTAAAAAAAATGTTGTTGGTCGTTGGATGAATCTATTTGAGACTGTTAAATATATTTATTGAAGTCTGTGTTATTTTATATTGTAACATAATTCCCTNTTGATTGAAACTATATAATTACTGGGTGTAATCCGTGCTTGAAAGTACGATACAATATTAATGATTTTGAGAAAAATGTTGTTGGTCGTTGGATGAATCTATTTGAGACTGTTAAATATACTTATTGAAGTCTGTGTTATTTTATATTGTAACATAATTCCCTTTCTCTCTCTGCTCATCTCTCTCCTTACCCTCGGATTTCCATCTCTCTCATAAATATCTGAATCTCACCTCCCCAACGTCTTTCAGCTCCAAGAACGCCTAAAGCATGAAATTTTNTAGATCCTTGCTAATTTGTAGGTATTTATTACTGATCGATTGGTTCAACTAGCATGACGGACCTGCTCTTGGTGTAAATCAATGTGTTTATTTAACTAGATCAAATTTGAACATTNAGCCGACTTGTGGCTTTGGTGGCATATTTTGTGTAATCTTTGTTGGAACAATGTTTTGACATGTAAAAATTATGTAAATGCTTGTAATAGAACTTATATGAATCATGTATAATGTAGAAAATATATTTTCTACAGGTTTGTGATGGATTTAGAAAGGTTTTGAGTGGATTGTAAATGAAAAACTGAGAGGCATAAAATTCTGGGCTAAACCTTCCGAGAGGTCCATGAAAAACCTTCTGGAAGGTACATGTAAAGGTATCCAATGGGCAAACCTTCTGAAAGATAAGTAAAACCTTCTGGTAGAAATTAGTCCAGTAGGTAAAACCTACCGGAAGATCCATAAAACCTTCTNAGAAAACAATACATTTTCAGTTAAATTCTTCTTTATTATTTGTTCCATACAGGAGAAAATAATTTGATTGTTAAAAGTGTTCTCTGACTACTTTAGATGTTAGAGTTAGAACTAGCTAAATAGTAAAACTCGGAAAAATTTGAATTTTTTCCTCAAAAGGANTTTAGATGTTAGAGTTAGAACTAGCTAAATAGTAAAACTCGGAAAAATTTGAACTTTTTCCTAAAAAGGAAAAAATGGTAATTTGCCACTAATATGCGGGTTTAAAATGCATATTTCTATAGAGCTCGGATGGAGCAACGGACCTCACCGTTGGATTCATATCACAAAATTGAGCTGTCATGGCAATTTTTGTCGAATTCCGAGATAATCGGATTTTATACACTTTACGAGACAATTGGGTGACGAATAAACTTTTAAAGGTCCCCAAAAATAAAAATTATGAAATTTCCTTATAATTGAGTAAAAGTTCAAATAAAATTAATTTGAACTAAAATCTGAATTTAATTAAGTCATTTCGGGTTAAAAGCGGACCCGGAAGTGATAAACGTACGAGGCAATATGGACCACAAAATTAAAAAAATATAAATAGGGGTTAATATCTGAAAAATCAGATATTTTCTCACCCATTTGGCCGGCTACTTCAGGCATTAAAGAGAGAAAAGAGAGAGGAGAAAAAAAATCTATTTTTCTACCTTTCTTTTGCGATCTAAGGAGTTCTGTCGGTCGGAATTCATCGCACCAAGACTTAAAGTTGGTCTACGCGACGAGGGCTACGCGTACGTACCAAGAACGAAGAGTTTCTCCGAAGATCCAAGAGGAGATTTTGTGAAATCAAAGATTTTGGGGCTAGAAAGGTGTCTAGAAGCTTTCTACCTTTCATCTCACGCTCCAAGAGGTAGGGTTTCTCCTTCTTTGGTTGATTTCTTACCTAGGGTGTATTATGGAATGGGTAAGGGTATTGAATAACATAGGTCACTTGACTATGGTTATGGAAATGGGTATTGAAATGACTTAAAATCAATTCCTAGCTTGAGTTGATGTATAGAAATTATTGGGTGATTTCTTAAAAATTGGCATTGATGGGCATATTATGTGTTTATTTTATGCCTTGAGAATTGAATATGTTATTGGCATGAGTTATGTATAACATGCTTATTGTGAATTGTGGTTGAATATCGAATGTTAATATATGCTCCTTGCTATATTAACTTGTGATGAAATTGGTGATTACGTACATAAGACATACAATTGTCATGACACATGTTGAAATGTGTAGTTAAATTTAGCTCATTGGCATTCATTACATTGAGCATGACATTGGCATTGCAATGGTTCATTACATTGCATGTGTATGAAAACATCGCATTCAAGGGCTTAGGCATGAGTGTGGGTGTATGTTGTGCATGGTTGGATCAATCACCATACTTGGTATTTGATGGGTGGGCTCTAGAAAGTGGGGTTGAATATCCTATTGAGTCGCACAGTTGCATACATGAAAAACTTGTGTCGGGTATAGCAAGAAAGGATAGAATCCCCCCTCGGGTGCAAGGCCCGGCTACTGGTTTATACACTTCCGACGGTGTAAGTCCAAAAAAAGTGTATCAGTGTGTGGAGCCGACGGTGCAACACCAAAAGTCCACTGCCCAAATAAAGACACATGGTTTTTGGTTATATAAATTATTCATTTGATGAGAAACATCCATAAATGAATTGGTTTTTATGAACGCATGAGTTTTGTTTCAAAATGATCTTTGGATATATTTCATCAAAGATAAATGTTTTACACATATGCATTGCATAGTATTGTGGAAGCCGAAGTAGGCTTGGAAAAAAGGAATGCGTGAATGAGTCTCATCTCATATCATAATATGGCATGGTAAGAATTTCATCTTGAATAGCATGTTCTTGGATGAAATGGAATTATGTTTGTGATTGTTGCATGTACTCATTGCATATACACTTAGGTGGGGAGTAGTCTCTGTAGGAAATATTCTACTGGAGATTGGCTCACCCTATACGGGAAACATTTCAGGTGCGGGGTTCGTACCGGAAGAGGACTCGCTTTCGGGGCCTCAATTATGAAGAAAAGCCGACTTGTGGCTTTGGTGGCATATTTTGTGTAATCTTTGTTGGAACAATGTTTTGACATGTAAAAATTATGTAAATGCTTGTAATAGAACTTATATGAATCATGTATAATGTAGAAAATATATTTTCTACAGGTTTGGGATGGATTTAGAAAGGTTTTGAGTGGATTGTAAATGAAAAACTGAGAGGCATAAAATTCTGGGCTAAACCTTCCGGGAGGTCCATGAAAAACCTTCTGGAAGGTACATGTAAAGGTATCCAATGGGCAAACCTTCTGAAAGATAAGTAAAACCTTCTGGTAGAAATTAGTCCAGTAGGTAAAACCTACCGGAAGATCCATAAAACCTTCTGATAGAAATTTTCCAGTGAGCAAACCTTCCGGAAGGTTTTCCAAAAATCTGAAATTTTAAGAATGCATTGTCAGGCTTTTGGGCAATGTGTTCTTTGGTTCCAAGGATACAAATGGATCTTAAATGAGATACATTGGGGTATATGGAACCTCGATGAAATTAAATGATTAAAACAAACACGGATCCTCGTGTGAGTTGAAATCCCGGTTACAGAGATATGATAGACGTGATGTCGGATTATGCGATAATCACGAATATTTTCGCAAGTTGACGGGTGATCAACGGGACTCCCAATTTTAGGGGCGTCACATAAATTTTGATAATGATGAATTATGTTAGAAACTTCAAAACTTAAATTGTTAATTTTTATTTTAGTCCCTGAAGTCTCTTTAAATTGTTTTATGTGAAAAATTTGTGGTGCAATAAAATGTTATTATGACATTTTGTCATAAATATATGTATTTTGAATATCTTTTATAAAATTGCAAGTATCTTATGATACACACAATACATTACGATAAGCGATACACTATATTTAAAAAATGATACATCTTTCAATACATATTTTGACAACTTTATTTTTGAATATGAAAATGTTTGTTCAATGAATTCAAAACCTACTAAATATATGCACAAAAAGTGATTTTTGCTCTCTAAGGGGTGTGTTTTTTATTTGTTGTTATGTGTAGAAATTGTTTTAGTTTTTATGATTGGTTTTGATTGATTGATTGAAACTATATAATTACTGGGTGTAATCCGTGCTTGAAAGTACGATACAATATTAATGATTTTGAGAAAAATGTTGTTGGTCGTTGGATGAATCTATTTGAGACTGTTAAATATACTTATTGAAGTCTGTGTTATTTTATATTGTAACATAATTCCCATTCTCTCTCTGCTCATCTCTCTCCTTACCCTCGGATTTCCATCTCTCTCATAAATATCTGAATCTCACCTCCCCAACGTCTTTCAGCTCCAAGAACGCCTAAAGCATGAAATTTTTTCTAGCCCCAATCAATGGTTACGAAACCAATATCAGTATTTATCTCTCTCCCCCCTCCTTTCTCTGTCCCTTCTACACCACTTATGCCAAAAGTACCTCCACTGACCACCATCAGACCATGACTGACTCATACATCAAAACCCTCATCCAATCAAAGCCCAAGCCTATACAACCAAACCCTAAAACCCTATATCCGGTCACCCATCTCCTGTAAACTCTCTCGCTTCGATAACCACTCCGTCGATGTAACAAAAATTCTTCCATCCAGTTTGTTTGAAAGCCCTTGATCTATTGAGGACATGAGTTTTCTTTTTGTTTTTTCTTTTCAAATTCTCTCATTGAATTGGAGTGATAAATGCGACCCAGGTAAGTTCTCTATGATTGAAATTATGGACATGTACGAGAAGGTTGCAGGAAATGACACTAAAGTGGATGTATACAATAGGATACCTGGTTACCCTTTGAACATTGGCTTGAAAAAAAATACTTGGTGATCATGACATTATTGAATTATTGCTTGCATATATAAGGGTCTGCCAGTAGTTGTGGTTTATATAGAGAAATGTAAAGTGGGGTAGGTGATCTGGGTGAAGGGGAAGGTGATGTGGATCAGGGGGAAGGTGACATATCTGATGTATTTGATGACCCTGAATATATACCTAGTGGTGGATCCATTATTTCAAACGATAGGGATGAGATCAGTGATGACCCTACTTGGCTTTGTGAAGACCTAGAGGGTGATGATGATGACACTCTATGGTGGCAGGCATGGCATGGTGTTGAACATGATGTGGGAACAGAAGGGCATGAAAAAAATGGGGGAACATGATGGAGGAAATCTGGTACTCTGAACCAGAAAAGGATGATGAGTTGTGCAGTATAAGAGGGTCATCAGATAAGGAGGACCAATACCCTGAGTTTAACGAAGATGTCCATATGAAGAACCCTGTTCTGATTGTGGGAATGAAATTTCCATCACCGTAGGCATTCATAGAGTTGCTTAGGTAGTTCAATATCAAAAATGGGTATGAAATCAAATATACAAAATAACACTTGTAGAGGACAAGAAGCACTACAAATGTTGTTTCTACTGTAACTACTAGTGTTTCTGCTGCATCTAATGGTGTTTCTACTGCAACTACTGGTGTTTTTGCTGCATCCAATGGTGGTAGAAATACTTCTGCTGCAACTAATGGTGTTGTAAATGGTGTTTCTGCTCCGTCTACTTCAACAACTTCTCAACCACCACCCATTCATTCTGAGCAACGTACTAAGTTACCAACACATGGTGCAAAGAGTGTTCAGCATAATGCAAGGGGAAGGGCTAGAGCTGGAGGTCATGTGGGTCCCATCTAACAATCAAGCACTTACTTTGTCAACATTACTGCAAAAAATTAGGGCAAGAAAAGGAGGATAGTCAACTACTGCTACATAGTAGCTTGAAAAAAAATGTGTTTTTTGTTTCCAATGACATCTTTTGTTTTTGTAAACTGGCTTGTCAATTGCCACCAACTCTTTTGTCAACTGGAATGTCATCTTTTGTATTTTTGTTCATTTTGTTTGAACTATAGCGTTGCATTTGATATGCAGTAATGTCTTTAAGTAGGAATGAAATGGACATAAGAATGGAATAAACTTGAGAATGGAATGGAATGGAATGTGTATTATCATTCCAATATTTGACATTTAATTAGGATTAAGTCTTGGAATAGAATGTTCATTCCATTCCAAAGTTTGGATAAAATAATTTCTATTGGAATGAAATAAAATTTACCAAAATAACTTTTTATCATAAAATTTCCAACTTATTGCATACTTCATTATAATGAGTACTTTTGTTAATTTTAAAACTTGACCAATTAGATTAAATATGTCGTAAATAACGTCACAAAAAATCACATGATGAAAAAAATACAAAAAAATAATAAAAATCAATAATAAACAACAAATAAAAAAATAGAAATTATATACTTTCATCAATATCCTACATATAATCTTTCTTGAATGGCACTCATTCAACACACAATGGCTATGATCAACCTGCAAAATGTGGGCCTATTCCATCTACCCTAATTTTTTAATGTGGACAATCTTGTACAAATACACCTAATTTCAAAATTTGACAAATACAATAAAATGTAATCATTAACCAAATAACCTTTTTCATAGAAAACATAATTAAACTCAAGCTTAATAAATAAGAGTAACACAAGTGTTTCATAGACAAAAAACAAAAAAAAAAAAACCAAAAATTATGTTCCATTTTCCATACATCATCCTATATATCTGTCAAAAATCCCCCCTCAATATCCCTCTAACTAATTCTGCCTTCTCAACCTCAGGAAGGCTAAAAAATAAGTCGGTATAATCTGAGTCATGAACTAACACACTCGAGGCATTGAGCCTCTCACTCATGGAAAAGTCGGGCAACATTAGCAAGTCTTCGTAAATCTTCTTCGTTATATCATGTACTGCGGTGTCAACACCAATTCCACGAGCAAAAATAGTTGTTGCCTCCTTAATCTCTGTGCTAATCAAAGAAGCAGCACTCATCAACCCTTCAACTACCATCTCTTCCATACCACTACTTTTTTTCTTCAACCTCGCGCTCCCAACCTCCTTAGACATAGATGGTCGTCGCATAGATGACATGGATCTATTCATGTCATCTGATCCATGTAAGAATATCTCATGCTCAGTGTTTCCTTCTTCTCTCTCTAACTCATCCACCACATCTACCGGGCCATGCGCTTCTCTACTAGTCGCCCGGTCCTTTCCAAATATAATGCACTAGTCCTCATAAAAGGGAAAAGATCTATCCCTAAACTTTTCTGCTCCATTTGTGGCTCTACAATTCAAACAAATATAATATGCAAAAATATGTCAAACACAAGAAACAATTATATTAAATAAGTAATCAATCATAGCAGATTTATGTTAAACTTCACAAAGAACATCAAAATCAATGTAAGTAGAAAAAATAGAAAAAGATGGTAATGTCCACTGTGATATGTCAAATACTAGTTTTAATTTCTGTTGGGAGTCCACTGTGTATGAAAGTAGATTTCTATTCATAGATCAAATTTGAATTTATTTATACATGCTTTGGGAAATATGCCTTGGGAAGTGGCAGCATCTTGTCAGGGAAAAATATTCAAGCATATTCAATGGAAGTTCAAGCCTATCCATCCTTTCAGAACTATCAAGCATGCCTACACCATCACTATTTAATGGAAGTTCTGTAGGCCTTGAACTGGGAATAGGTCTAATACATGAACTGATACAAGTAACCAGGTGCGGGTGAACTGGTTGTTCTTTCAAGGAATATATACATGAACTGAAATGTTTTGGATCAATCTAACCAGATTCTATCAAATATAAGTTCCTGAACAAAGTGTTTAGTCAACTTTTAACACTTGGAATTATGCTTGCAGGTAAATTTTTTTTTTTAAAAGATTCAATCAAAATTCTAAATTATGCTTATAGGTCATGCCATCATTAATTCTAATGAAAGTAATCCAACTAACCTCATTTCAACAAGCAATATAATTAGGTAAACAATCTAATTAGATAAATCAAGAATATGATGAGAATGTTTCAATGTTCGAGATTATGCCAAAACCTTTTTTTTTTATATAGGTGATTATGCCCAAAACAGGATCAGATCTAAGCTATGCAATAACTCGAAATGATAAATGAAATGGTAAATTTGATAAATACCCATAAGTAACACTCTCATACATCAGAGCTTGCTGTCAAACATTTTTTTTCGTGACCAAATCCAAATCCACTTGTATGAATCTCGTTAAGCATGTCACGAAAAATGCAAAAATCCCTCTTTAAAACCTTGATTCATGACTCAATATGTGGTTTGGCCTTTATTCCTTTGTCCGGCAGCTTCTCTAGCAAGGATTGCTCAATGACATTCAAATATCCTGGTTTAAACCCATTATCAGCTCGATGTGTTCCGGAGGTAACTAGTTCCAAAAAGGGTCTCAATCAATTTAGCATCTTCATCAGCAGTCCACTTCCTCTTATTCTTACCCAGACCTTGTGACTCCACTTGACTTGAAGATGCCATTTTTTCAAACTATTCTTATTGAAATAAGGTCAATACACAATCAAATTAAAGTGCTAATAAATAGAGCTATACATAATTCTAATGCAAAAAAAGCAACCACAAAATACAAATGTGGTGTGTTACAACCATGTTTGCCTGCATCTAGCTTGCATGCTACATATTACTTATTAGAAATTGCTAAATACATAGTCCACCATTTTCTGGAATAATTTTATACCTTTAAGGGGTATAAAATTATAGAAATCTAGCAAACCATACTTCTGTCGGACATTTTCTCAAACACCTTCAAAGCATAACCCAATTCGAGCAAACCCATACCACCACCAACATCCACTTCCACAACAACACAGTCGCCACCAAAACTCAATAAGAGCCAAAATGAAATCCCACAATAATTAAACCAAAAATTAGAAAAACATTGGAAATAGAGAGAGAGAGGGAGAGCGAGGACTATGAAAGTGGAGAGTTGGGATGCACAGCTCCATCGCTACACACCATCACAAGACTCTATCACTGCACATCATGCCATACCGCCTCTGTTCATCTACGATAGCAAAACGACCCCAGCACCTACCACCATGTCACCAAAATCACACACCCCAATGCACACGGTGAAACATTTTCTCTCCATAAACCCACCTAGTTGGAACAAATCCAACCAATCAAATGAAATCCCACAAAATTGAGACATTCGCGATTGTGCAAGAGGTGGAAAAAGAGAGGTCAACGTGTATTTCGGACAAATTTTTTTGAAGAAAATTGCAAAATTCAACAATTCTAGGTTAGATCTAAAAATTACCTGAAAATTGTGTTAGATTTGAGCTCAGAGAGATTGATAGCAACGAGCCTCCACAGAGATGGAGTCTCAGATCTCAGAGAGAGATAGAGATGCAGATCTAATGAGAGTGTGCGAGAGAGAGAGAGGAGACACGAGATGAGATGAGAGAGACTGAGAGAGCAAACCAAAGATTTGAGCGATCGGGTTTTTTTCCAGATGGATTGGGTTATTATCGAGTGGATTGGGAATGGAGAATACTACGTTGGATTTGATAATGCCTAATCCCATAATTTGTGGTATTAGGGATTCCTTCAGAATAAGAATAAATTTTAAATTCTGTAAACCAAACATTTGAATAGACATTCCCATAAAATGTTCATTCCATTTCTAAAGCTTAACACCATGTACCAAACATTGCGTAACTCTTTTGAAATTGCCACCAACTCTATTTTGTTCATTTTGGTTGGTAGTAGGCAATGAATTATACAGTGATTTATCCAGTAACATTGTGTAGCGATTTATGCAGTTGCGTTAAGTAAAAACTCATAATTTCTTCCATAGCACATAAACATAATTTAATTTCAAAAAACAGTCAGAACTTCGTTTCCAAAACTACATAAACTCATAATTTCATTTCCACGCTACACAATTCACTTCTTCCACAGCACCACCAACAGTTTCATAAACACATAAAATAAACCCTACCTTAAACATTGTCGTCAAATTCTCATGTTTCTCTTCAAGTAGCAGCATAATCCTTGTGGTTAAACTTGAGGTATTTTCAACATCTTCAATTAATGGCCTTTCATTTAGGTGGTTTCCAGGAGATACAACAGCTCCACTGGTCATCTATGTAGCAGCAATTGAATAGCCAAGCCCAAAATAGGCAACCCTTAGTCTCACAGGTATAATACAATCGACATTTTGTTGGTTTTTCTAATCCAACAATTTTTATTATCACTTTTCATCGACAACCACAAATGTTGCTATCGAAACGTAGGTCTAGTGTTTCCCCTCCACCAATAGTAGTTGAGGATGCCATTACACTACTTTCCTGTTGGAGGATTGTGCAAGAAATTAAACAAAAAAAAAATTACATTAGCTGAATCCCAAGAAGATGTTTAGGAATTAGTTATAAATCCCATTTTTCCCATGATCTGCATATAATACACCATTACATAAAACAAGCACGTCACACTTCACCAAATGGCAGAAGTGGCAATATAAGCATTATTTTTGGGAATTCGTTTGGGGTGATATACAACACGAACTTTTTTCGAAAGGAGTAGTGCAACCAAAGATTTCGAGTGTGTTTGTTGACTTGATCCGAAATGTATATACCCTAGTGCAGGCGGTCAAGTTGTAATTATAATCCAGTAAGTCCAAAGTCGAATTCACATGGAACTAATGTTGGTGTTTCGAAGTAAATAGTGACAGAGAACAAAGTGACTAGAACTCTTGAGATTTTGAAGTTATGATGTTTATGGAATTTCTTGGACAGAATATAAGATTCTCTCAAAAGGGATTTTCTAGACAAAATATAATATTCTCTCAAATGTAAAGTCACCCTTTTAGCTCGAGGATCTAAACATGTAGTTAATCATCTGGTTGTTATATTTGTGTTTGAGAACTCAATTAACCTCTATGTCAACAACATATTAATTGGAGGATAAAGATGGATTGTGAAAATTAAGAATATGGTTCCGATGTCTTTGTAGAGATTTACAAGAATTGTCAGTGCCGAAACTCAACTCATCTACAAACAAGCAAGTAATTCTATCAATCATCCAACTATTGTGTTCATATTCCATTCTTAGTTGAAGCACAATAATAGTGAAAATTAAAATGTAGTCATGAAAATTTAGTTGGAGTACTTACAAAGAAACAATGAATCCTCCTATGCCAAGAGTCATCTTGTCTTAGAAAGGACTCATAATTGTATAAAGTACCTTAGTTTTGGTAGATGCATTCAATCATTTAATAAGCAATCAAAAAATAAAGTATTAAGCATAAAAGAAATGCACAAATATAACTTCCGAACGATTTATACATATTCATCACCTTTTACTAAAGAGTGAATAAGAAACTACTCACTCTTCATGGCTTTGAAAAAGCTAAAAAAGTGTATAATTCCCATCCCTCCAAGTAGAGGAGTTTACAAGACAAAACAAACTACACAATGATCCTATCTTCCACGAAAAATGAGTGAATCACTTTTCACCCTTCAAGGCTACAAGAGAGTTAGAAAGGTGGAAGATGTTTACTCCTCTAAGTGAAGAAAGAAATTTTTACAGTGGAAGCTAATGAAACTAATAATGAAAGTAGAAAAAACTAGTTACTTTTGGAGAATTTCTTCCTCTTCCAAAAGATCTCCATATCTTTCCCCTTTACAAGTCCAAATAGGAGGTATTTATAGGCAAGGAGGAGGAGCTAAAAGTTTAGACTCAAGTGTTTTAAGTCTAAGTGAATGCCACAAAATCCAGATGGAAAATCCAATCATTTTGCAGCCTGTCTGAAGAATACGTTCGAACGTGGGATAGGGTTGGAATGTGGAGTACTGTCTTCTGTGATAGGCGTTCGACCGCTGACTGGAGTTTGAACGTAATACTCAAGTGACTTTTTTCCTTCACAGTGAAGAGCTGCAGCATGCCATGTGTCATCACCCTAGCAATCTTCTGGGAGTTTTCAAATAATTCAAGATGGGTGTTTAAACGTGTATTGGCGTTCGAACGTGGTACTCAAGTAGCTCTTTGTTCTTTTTCTCAGAGAATAGCTGCAACACACCATGTGCCATCACCCTAGCAATCTCCTGGGAGCCCTCAATTATTTTAAGAGGACGTTC